AAAAAACATGTACTGACCATAACAATTTCAAAAACGTACATGATACCCAAATAAACTGTGACACAGAAATACCAAAACCCTACGATTAATTGACACACTCGGAGAATTAATAATATTTTACGGAAACCACCCTTCAAAAGCTGAATAGAAAAGAATCAAACATCATTTTTCGTATAAATGTCTATCATCCAAACTCCACAAACATTTGATGCAGCATGGAAAAAATCTGTTTACGTCATTCAATGATCAGGATCGGGTAACACAAACTTCTGTGAAGAGACTGATGTTGTTTTCTTTGAAGTTAGCAAAAATATCTAAACCAGCCTGGTTGATTTTAAAGTTAATTCGCATTCTTCACCTGAATTCTTTCTACTTTAAGTGCCAGCCTTACAAGTTCATAAAAACAACCCGACACTTTCTCCATAAAAATAATGAATAAAAAACAACTATAAAATTATCAGAGATATTAATTTCACTACACATAAAACCATGTATTTCATGTAGAATATGTAATAAAACACCCAGTCACGTATATCTGATAAACCCAGACAATCCTGTAAAGAACGTTTTAACAATATCTTGTTACAGTAGTATACAATGCCTAGAGTTTTGAAGCAACAATTTTTTTAGGACTAAAAAAAAAAAGTGATAAAAACTGTGTTTAACAGCAGATATTTTTCTCGTATTCCTCTTAATTACAATGGCTGCCAACAGGATATCTGAATTGCCATTTGTATGCAGTAAATAAACTTGTACATGTCTGCAATTCAGAATTCGTAATGGTCTAATAAAGAGGAGTGTGAGAAAAAGCATATGCAGTAAAGCGTGATTTTTGTTACCTTTGTTAGGCATACATACAATAAATTTCTATCAGCACCACATTAGACTTTTTTGTTGTCCTACACTTTAACCATCGAAAGCTTAGCTAATATGTGTATGAAAACTGTGCTCAAAATCTAAAGCAAACACACACATGAAAGACATTTACTGGTTTGCCATTTTGAATAATGTCAGTCTTTTTGGTATTAATCTAGATTCTGCCAACTGTCGCTTTAATATGCTTAAAAAAACAACTAATATTTTTTTACCTATTCATAAATACCTATCAGCCAAATATATCAAATTTAGACTTAAAAGTTTCAGTTCTTATTTTGGTTTTAGAACTACAATTTGTAAGTTGGCAACCATTTCTAATACGTTTCTAACATTTTTTAACGTTTAACGTTTTTTTTTTTTTACTTTACATGCGCAATGTGTAATTTTCTCAACATCCCAGGTTTCTGGAATATACATCTAAATAATCGAATCGTTTAGTTGCCTTTTTAAAAACGTTTCTCTGGTATTCTTTTTTTTTCTTAATTACTTTTCTCCACTTCAGTGCTATTATTTCCTTCTCATACGGTAGGTTCCCCAGAAATTACTGTCGCATCTGTCATACATTACACCACGAACTACCTTTCCATATTGAACATATTTCACATCTAATCATGTGTAAATTTTCAAAACGTGAGTTTCATAATTCAAACAATTACATTTGATGTCTTAGCATGCAGTTCCTTATGTCTAAGATGGGCTATTTGCAAGCTGTCTCGTTATAAATCAGACAAAAAGTTTTCAGAATGTATCACGAAATGGCAATTTTTAGACGCGTATATAGATGCAAAATATTTTCGGCTTGTATTTTGTATGACACGGAAATCCTGATATCACCTGGTAAAAGAAGTGCAGATGTATAGCGTGTATGTGAGAGTGTAACTCATTTACATCTGCCTTTTTAGACTAACTAAAGTTTTAGATTAAATAATGTACTCTCAGTTATACAGGATCAGAATAAAAAAATAAATAGAAGGGATTATAAGAAAGATATAGCTGGAGAATACAGTGGATATTTTTGTATTTGTTCATAATGTAATGACATTATGGGCTTATCTTTTAACTCATTACAAAATCAAAAGCTAAATAATGAAAACTGGAACTTATTACTTCTTTCTTTTATAAAACTCTTATCAATCACATCGTGCACGAGCCTAGCATGGCTTGGTGGTTAAGGTGCTCAACTACTACTCTGTGCATTGCGAGATCGAAACCATTCAACGAACATGATCACCATTTCAGTCATGGGAGGCTAATTCCACTATTAGTTGGTAGAGAGTAACGTATGGATTAGTGGTGGGTGGTATTGACGATCTAGTTTATCACTTCAAAATTAGGGACAGTTAACGCAGATAGCCCTCGAGAAGCTTTGCGCGAAATTCAACAAAAACACAACAAACAAATGAACATATTATGCAGAGCTCTATATTGTTTTGTGGCTATAAACACTGGCAAAAGAAAAAAATGTGTTTATTAATAAAAAATCGCTTATCAGAGCGAGATTGTTTTCAGGATCCCATATAGATATAAAGTACGAGTAAAGCTGTAGATTGTGTATGTATCTCTTTTAAAAAAACTAATATCATCAAAGTCAGGCATAAACTGAGGTTCTGGAGAGGGATATATAATATTCCTCGAGGTCCATGCGTGATAGAATTGAAACTGGTAAAACTAACCAGTCTTGAGCACTCGTTGAAACTGGTAAAACTAACCAGTCTTGAGCGCTCGAGAAAGCATCTTCTAAGAATCAAGAGTACGGTCTTTTTTTGGATATTAAAGAAACTTTTCAAGTGTTAATGTAACTTGAAAGTTATTCTTGAACGAGATTAACTTTTAACGCTATTGTGTTTTCGCAAGGTATAATTACCTGTCAAATTAAAAATATTTTGCTGGTTATTTTTGACCGTTTGGTATTTTGGGTGAATATATATTTGTTGTTCGTTATTATCCTTATGGTGTTTTCAGAGTTTATGAGTTTTGTTTCCTTTTCCTCCATGGTTATTATCTGAATATTATTGATAACTTATCTTCGAGAATGTATTCCTGGTGTAAAAATGTGACGGTTTAATATGGTAATTAATATGTATTAGTTTTCATTCAGTGAACGTTTTTTGTTTTGTCTTTATTTGGTGACCCCGTTTTTATCTTCTATGCACTAACTCCGTTTTTAATGTATAGCTTCAAAAGTTTGTGCGAGGTCTAAATCTGGTTGGTTCATCTGGTCTTGAATGTAGAAATGTTACTATCAGTCTATTTGTATATCATGGACGTACTAATAAAAATAGTGGAGTTTAAGAACATGTTAGCTTTTAAAATGAAGTTATATAATTGATAAAACTAAGAAATAACAGAATAATTTTAATTACACATTCATATCTAAAAGGTGTTTGCAGAATAAGTTTCTTAAACAAGTTACCCTGGATTCCTAGACTTTTCCAATAATTATCTCTCAGATTTATTTTTAATTTTTTTCTATAGCATCAGGCTATCTGCTGTGTTTACCGAAGGGAATCAAACCCCTGATTTTAGCGTTGTAAGTCCATAGACTTACCGCTGTCCCACCCGGGGATTTCAGATAATGTATAAGTCCACAATTTTTTTAAAAAATGCTATTACAAGTATGAACAAAATTTTATAACTAAGTAATTTAGCCAGTTACGGATTCAAAACATAGAGTATAACAACATTAACAGTACTTTCACATTTATATATATATATATCACAAATAACCAAAAAAAAACTTGCATTTTAAACCTTGTGCTATCTATCAAGTGTAGAGGAAACTCGAGTATTTAAAAAAATTCAGTAACACTGTTATTATGGATATATATCGTCTCTTTAAAATAAGAACACGCCCTCCCACAGCAAAGATGACACAGCTGCATACGATATCGAAATACAATGTTTTAGCTTAAATTGAGGTTTAACCATTTTAAAAAGATTAATTAAAGAAGCTCTTATTTGACAAAACAAGAATACACAATAAATATTGAAGAGTAGAATATCTTAGTAACAAATTTAGAAAGAAAGGAATGTTAGTATACTGCATAGTCTTGATAGGAATTACTTTTCTACATATAATGTACTAAATTTAACCAATAAATATTGTATGGAGAAAAACATTTAAGGTTTAAATATAGCAGTTAGTTGCCATTCTTACCGGCGAGAAAAGCTTATTTCACAACACAAATTGTATTCCAAAAATACAGGTTTATGTAAAACATAACACAATTGATTGTTTTAACGATAATTAACACAGAAGTTGTTTTGTTTCCCGACAACACAAATTATATTTTTAGTTCCAAATTGTGTTCATTCAAATACAACGTTGCATTGTGAAGTCACATTTTTACAAAGAATTCAGGAGTGAAATGTTCAGCAGTATTACATGGCGAAAATAAACATCTCTTCAGTGAAATGTTCAGAAGTATTACATGGCGAAAATAAACATCTCTTCAGTGAAATGTTCAGAAGTATTACATGGCGAAAATAAACATCTCTTCAGTTGAGATAATTTTTTAAAGTATTGTTTTTATGTACTGTTGGATTTTCAACTAGTGCAATGAAGTGCGTTAATTTACAACTATTATTATTTGTATGTATATTGTATAAAATTCAACACAAAGACCGTGTATTAACAAATACACTTCTATCGTGTTTCCTAAGTCCATAATCAATGATTGTGTTGTTTATTTTATTTGAACTTTTATTGTAGTCATTAAAACACCAAATCTATGTTCCAAAGAGCAAATGTTACATTATTTTTAACACAAGTTTTTTTTTCCGGTGTACAGTACTTCATTCTTGTTATTTTATACTTATTATATTTAGTGTACAGAATTACTGGCTTTTTCAGATAACACAATAGATTGTTACTATGTGGCTTTATTTTAAAATGTATGAATATCCGATTTCTTTTTCAGTTTTGAAACGAAAAAAATCTCACTATATATGTCTGTATTTTATATATGACGAACGACCGATTTTATGTTCATCATCGCTATTGTCGCAGATTATATTTACATTATAATTATTGAAATATTTTATAAAAGAGCTATCTATATGTATTGTTTAGATAAATAACAAAAGTGTATACTTATTTGCACCATTAATAAATACAGAAATACTTGTGGCCTTTCTCCAAGTTATTGTAGGTGTTGGTGATCCATTAGCACTGCAATCAATCCTAACTGACTTTCCTTGGACAACTTTGGAGTTTTGTGGCTCTTCAATCCAGCTAGGGGGCGCTATAAATACAAATAATTCTGTTAGTCCAAGACTAATAATTTAAGTACGCAATCATATCTATATATCTTAAATATGAAGAATAAAATATAAAGTAAAATTTTATTTCAAAAACTAAGAATTAAAACTCCCAATTTTTCTGTTTTGATATTAAGAGATGTATTTATTACAATGCTATATTCTATCGTTTCAGAAAATTTAATTGTAGTGAAGTAATGTTCATAACACGAAGAGACAAAATACAGGGTACAAATCTTAAAGAAATATTGCTTGGATGAAGATTTTGATGGATATGGCTTACAGTAATACCACTTCTTTTACTCAAAAGTTTAGATTCAAAGCGAACGTTAATATGAAATACAAGTAGATATATGACGTAAGTTAACTTGACAAAATGTTTACACTCTATTTCATATATATATATATAATTAGAAACCTGAATTATACCTCTTATCCTAATTTATTTATTCTTACACCGGTCAAGGCAAACTATTCGCCTTTTCATTCAACTGTGGCTCATATAGGAGAAATATTATTCTTATGATGTACATAAGCAAACGTAACCGTTTTACCTTCACATATATAGATAAAAACTCTCCTATTGCTAAGTTTATTCCTAAACTAGTATAAAATACCCATGCTCCGCTGCGGGATTCTAAGATCCCCTCGTGATTCACAGAGGCCTCAATGTACCAGTCAAGTGTCTCCATTATCTTTATTACTTCTATAACTAACCTAATATGACAATTCTTTTATTGATTTGTCTGTTGCCATTTCCCGAACTTAATTCAACTCAACTCTTTTTAAAAGCAAATAATCTAAATTTAGCTTCTCAGATTCGTTTTTTTTCTTCCTGTGTTTTTATTTGAATTCTTTTTTTTCTCCAAATTCTTCAATATTCTCTGGTTTTTACCCGTTGTATGTTACCGTTTCCAAAAATTAGTTCAATTCAACTTCTCTTTAATTCTCAGATTTGTATTTTTCTTCCATTGTTTGTATTGAAAAAGAGTATTTGGCACAAAACTTCCACATATTGTTCATTCAGTAAGTGAATATTAGGAAAAAAATTATATTGTTCTATAGACCTTCAGTAAGCAGAATTATAGGGCTTAAGGACAAAACTGTAGAGCAAAAAAAAAATAGCAAAAAATTAAAAAAAATCAAATCTAAAAAAAATAATACATAGGTGCACACCCTCAAAAACCACTTAGTATGCGTACAAAGTTTCAAGTCTCTAGGTTCTTTCCTCTTGTAGTTCTGGCGGTCACACACACACAGACAGGCTCTTTTATTATTATAGATACACACAGAACACATGTTAATGTTACGAATTTACTCATATCTCGCTTATTACTTGTCATGTAAACATGATTTTTCAGAGATAATTGTGTTTTCAGAAATTGTAAGAATTATTGAGTAAAATAATTGTTCATGCATTTACTTCCAAGACAGTATACAATATTTATAGGTTTTGAAATTAATTAATCAAATGTTGATTTTATTACACACTTATCTCTCAAAACATTTACGTAATATCACACGTTTCATATAGTGTATAGATTATATGTGCCTGTGACAGAAAAAAATAAAAAAATAAACAGGTACGTGAGAGATTCCCAAGTGACACAAAGCCCTTGAATTATAATAGAAAACAAAACATTTTTCTGGTATGGGAAGTTTAGCATTGTTCTTTTGAAATGAATTGTTTTCTTACTCTGAAAAATATACAAAGGCAGTTTTGAATTCTAATAGACCAAAATAGGCAGACGCATACAACACAACAACATGTAACATAATCAAGTTAATAAACTAGAGATAATTCCCTTTTATAAAATTCGATACAGTTTTATAGAATGTTACATACATTTTACAGGCAAGCGATTGCCCAAGGCGCTTCACAAGAAAATTAGTGGGCAAACAATATTTTAAATGGTTTATTTCCCGAAGACCTATAACTAGGTGCACCAAGTACTAGCTTCATACACATGGCAGAAATTGTAAAGTGAACATTTTTATTTCAAAGATCAGAAATAGCCGCAGGAAAAAAATCAAAATATTGTAAATAATGAGCATGAAAACAGTATTATTAACACCCATTGCTGCAACATTCATAAATGCTTCAAACACAGACACTTGTTTGTGTTCCCTCAAAAGTTGCATACCGAATCTTTCTATTAAAGGGGGTATAATACTATGATTTTACAATATATATATCGTAGAGTTTTCTACTGATCATTAACGTAAGGTGTCATCTAATACTATCTATACATTTACTACGAGTAACTTTAAACATTATTCGAGAAGCTATGCGAAGGTTGGACAGTTTTGACAACTAAAGGATGTGATTTTTATGATTCATCGATTGATTGATTGATTTCTTTCGAGCACATTGCTGGAATGACTCTTATCAATTCAGTCATTCAAGTAAATGCTTGTATAAGTAAATATTGTATCGGTATTACGCGAATGAATGTTACACTGAATATTTTCATACTACTTCGAATAAGACTAGTGTAGATTAGAACTAGAGAGGAATGCAATTAGTTATCAATTGTGATATGTATTGATGAATAATTAAACTTTGCAAGGTAGTCTATAACGTGATTAACTAATTTACCGGGATTGGATATGGGGACTTTTCGTTAAAGATCTAAAAATGTATTAAATGTATACCTGGTATTAATATACACTTCCCTAAAAGCCTTAACCTTACGACTAACTAATAGCTTCAAACATAAAGTTCAAGGATCGCAAAATGTGATTATATTTCAGACAGAAATTGAATAAATATCAAGCATGGCAATTAGGTTGCTATACAAAAGATAGGAACTTGTGCCTCTATTTTTTTTCTTAACATAATAAACATTAAAAGTACAATAAAAATATATAAAGGTACCAATACTGAAAAGAAAGACATAGTGTTTTCAATAATTCTATCAATATGAAATTATATAGGGGATCCAATTTCCTCATGACCTTCCTCACGTCATCCTGTATCACTGTGTCAAGTTGTGCTGACTTGGTAGTTTTTCCGAAATTATATATGAAATTAAAAACGTCAAACGTAAGAATAAAGGGCTAAGACTCTATCAGTGATTTTTAATTTTATTTAGTGATTTAGCGAAAATGAATGAAACCAACTTGAATTGCTTCAAATCATTGCTTGATAAGACTTAAGTCATATGCATTTGAACGAATCTCTACAAGAGGCTACACTGTTAAAAAAAGAGAAGTTATATTTGGCAACTCTACTCGAATGAGAGCAATAGCTTTCACCTTTAATTCGTAGTTGAAAAGATTACCCGTGCTATCTTATGAAAGATCATCCTTTGTTTGCCATCTTTGCTTCCGTTAACTAGAAGGCTGCATGCATAATATACTATAGAGTCAGTGTGAGAAAGTATGCTTTGGGAAGGCTAGAAATACTGAAGATGGTGTCATAGATCTATGTCTGTATCAATGATGTTTTGCATTAAAGAAGTTCTTGATCACGCTGCACAAACAGACTATGTGTATTTTGTCCTTATACTCCGTAACCTCTCAATCTATCCCCGGAATAGTATAAATAGGTATTGCGAATTAGTGTATATTAAACATGAACATTCATTTATTTGCACTGTTACTGGGCTGTCGGCAATAGTGATAATGAGCTTGGCTAAAATCTTATTTCTTTTGCAAAAGGTACCATAAATTCCTCATTTAGGGAGCCCTCTACTCATGATATTCTAAAATAGAGAATATGATTTATCCAGAGTTTTCCCCTTATTATTGGAGAAAGATTTAAAAAATTTATTTACTAAGGGTAGATATAAAGGTTTAATGGACAAAACTACAAAGTTTAGGTCTTTATAACCTTAAGAATAAACTACCTTGAAGATAGCTTTTATATGCGGAAACACCTGTTAGCTGAGTTCTTGCACAGATCTTAAAATATAACGTTGATAAACGGAAACATCGGTACATGTAGATATGTAGATCTTGAAAGTCGAGTTGTTCAAAACTTGAAATAGCGTTGATAACTGGACCAATTGCTTTAGTTATAAATGAGCCATGTCACCAAACAATATATATATATTTGTTTGTGTATAAAATAGTTTTTGATCAAGCCTGCAGTCTCGGTATGCTTTCTTTAAAGAACAAGGATGCATGTTCTTTATTTATAGTACAATAACATCAACTTGACAAAAAGTATCAAAGTTGAAATACTTTTTCAGAGTTTATATGAGCCTAAGCTCACAAAACATGTATGAACCTCATGAAATAAATCAGATCGTTCTTAGTGATTGTCACGTAAAAAAAATAATCAATTGATCAAAGAGAGTACTGTTCTGTAGACGTACAGCTGAAAAATTAGAAAGAGCAGGATTAAAGAAATATGAAAAACTTCTGAATAAATATCAAATAATATATACTTATTTGTATCACTAAAGTTAAGCTATAGATATATATATATATCCATCCCCTTCTCCTTCTCCGTGGGTGACTCCAAATCGCTATACTTATATCTCAAGTTCCGCTCAAGGAAACACTTGAAAAAGTTTGAAGAAGTCTTTTGAAAATAGAATACTCATGGATTATAAAGTGGATAGCATTCTAAATGATATATATATGAATCCAAGTATTCAGGATGTTAAAGATCACTAAGGGACTCAATCGAACCGTTCAATCTCAGAGACTTACTCTCTACTAAAACCGGTTAAAAGCTGATGACTAATACAAATTCTTTAAAGAAACGTTCATGTCATAGAACGGATGCATTAATAATAAATCATCATTTGTATGTTACTGTTTGATATAAGAAATTGTGCTCTATATGATTGACTTCTTTTGTAATTATACTTAAAAGATTCCACTAAAAGAGCATAAGTCTCATTGTTAAAGAGTTAAAAAGGCAAGTTTGATAAAGTTCTTATTCATGAGAAAAGCAATATTGATTTCTCTGTAGAGAAAAAGAAGACACTAAAGTCGGCATCAGTAAGCAATGTAAATGGCTATTATGTCA